TTTGAGACAGAGTCTCGCTGTTACCCAGGCAGGAGTGCAGTGGCATGATCTCAGCTCACTGCAACCTCTGCCTCCCAGGTTCAAGTGATTCTTGTGTCTCAGCCTCCTGAGTAGGTGAGATTACAGATTACAGGAGCCCACCACCATGTCTGGCTAAGTTTTGTATTTTTAGTAGAGACCATGCTGGTCTTGAACTCCTGACCTCAAGTGATCTGCCCACCTCGGCCTCCCAGAGTGCTGGGATTACAGGCATGAGCCACTGTGCCCGGCCTAAATTTTTTTTTTAAATATTTTTATTCTGTATGTTTTCTTCCCAGCAGACTCATTCTAGCCTAGCTACAAGACTTTTATAACATCTGCCTCCCAAATCCTTTCCTGAAACTCAGCTTTCCTGTGGTCTCTCCCCAGCGTTGGCGCTCTCGTGGGGCTGTCCGTAGCAGCAGTGGTCCTTCTGGCCTTCATTGTCACCGCCTGTGTGCTCTGCTACCTGTTCATCAGCTCAAAGCCCCACACAAAGTTAGACCCAGGCTTGAGCTTACAGACAGCAGGTAAGGAAGATGCCAGGTGATGTCCTTGTATTTGGTAGACTAGCATCTTTTCGGGGGGGGAATGTAGAAATAATGTTTGGAACATTTGCCTCCAGAGTGTTCCTGAAATAAGCCGAAACAGCGGCATGTTTCTCAGGAGATTCATGATCTAAACATTTCCATCCCAAATTCTTCATGTTCTCAATGTTTATCCAAAGAATTTAATGTTAGACAACACTCCATTTGTCACACAAGGATCAATCCATGTTGTGGATTTTCTAAGATGATGGTTTAATTCTAGCTTGGGGAATGCAAACTGATTTTAGTATTACCCCAAACAAAATAGAATGAATTTTAAAAATTTGCTGCTTCCAAGCGGATAATGTATTAGAAACTGAATACAGGCGCTTTTATTTGTGTATGTGTTTTTTTTAAATAACCTGATGTTCTGGACTACCCATTTCTTCATTAGTGTAAGCTATCAAGAGCCTCTAAGGGGCCAAAAAAAAGTGTTGTTTTTTTCACCAACCTTTTTTGCATACATTTTGACAACTTCCTGAAAGGTACTATGAAAGATACGAGTCTCTATTACCAAAAGATCTTTCAGTTTAGTTTGGTAGGCAATGCTCAAAATAGGTATTATTAAATCTATTTTACAGATGAGAAAAGCAAGACTGAGAGAGTTTTGATGACTTGCTCAAGGTGTCATAACTAATCATTGGTGGGGTGAAATACAGCTCACGTCTGTCTGCCTCGATTCACCACACTGGGTCTGGGCAGGTATATAACTAAGCACAAAATTGTTTGATAGGAAGTGTAGGGAGGACTTCAAAAAGGGGAGGATACTGGAGTTAGTGTTGAGTTAGTGAAGAAGTTGCTTAAGCAAAATAAAGGCGAAAGGCTGTCCCGGGATAGGGTAAGTAATGGGTACATGTGCGTGGGCAGGACTGAGTGAGCCCTCTGCAGTGACAGGGTCATACTGGAGCACCACAGGGAATAAGGCCAGGCAGGCTGGGGGAGAAATTTAAGCGAAGCAGAAAAAGTAAGGGTGACAGGAGGCATCGGGGAGGTAGAAGGAGCAAGGTGGGTAGTAGCTAAGTCTCAGAGAAAGAGAGGGATGAATGCCATCATTTATAAACGCGAGTTTTCCAAGTTAACAATAAAAATGCAACGAGCAATAGCACAAGAACCCGTCTCAGATCCTGATGACTGTGGATAATCCTGCTTCACAGGAAAAGCAGGAGGGGTCACTTTTGAGGGTGGAAGGATTCAGCTGGCTCCCTTTGGAGTGAGAAAGACCTGAGAGGCAGTGGCAGGGGAATAGAAAAATGTCTGAACATAGACCGACCTGGAGAAGACCAGAGACAGCTAAAGTTTCAATGTTTTGTTTTGTTTTGTCTGAGATAAGGTCTCACTCCAGTCGCCCAAGTTGGAATGCAGTGGCATGATCATGGCTCACTGCAGCCTTGCACTCCTGGGCTCAGGTGATTTTCCCACCTCAGCCTCCTGAATAGCAAGATTACAGGTGTACAGCACCACACCTGGCTAACTTTTTGTATTTTTAGTAGAGATGGGGTTTCGCCATCTGCTCAGGCTGGTCTCGAACTCCTGGGCTCAAACAATCCACCTGCCTTGGCCTCCCAAAGTACTGGGATTACAGGTGTGAGCCACCACACCTGGCTGGTTCAACTTTATAGAGAATAATTATAAAGGTTAATGAAAGACATAAAAGAACCTGACTATATGGGAGATACGGCATGTATGTGGATAGAAAGGCTCAATATCATAGAAATGCCAATTCTTCCTAAATTATCCTATAAATAAAAATGTTTCACGGAATTTGTCAAATTAATTCTAAAGTTCATCTAGAGGCATACAGGTGCAAGAATGAACAACACAATTTTGGAAAACAAAGAAAAGGAGGGACTTGCTCTATCAGCAAGCAGGACATTTTTAAAAATGTAGGATTTTCATTTAAAAATATAAGTTTTGGCCGGGCGCGGTGGCTCAAGCCTGTAATCCCAGCACTTTGGGAGGCCGAGGCGGGTGGATCAC